ATCCAGAGAGTCCGTTCACCTTTGTCCTTTAGTCTCTAGCTTTTGCCCCGGGACTACTCTATTTCTTATCTTCTATTGTCTAGAGGTAATCCCATTCGGCCCTTTAGTTTTACTCAAAACACAACAGTCCAGAACAGTCTGAACAGAAACCAGTGCTTACCTCTAATCTCACTGAAATCACTCCAGACTCTTCCAGGAAGAGAAACCACTGCTCCTCCCAGTCTCATGCTGCTGTGAGCCTGGTTTGCCTCCCTGTTAGCCTTATGCACTGGGGTCCAGCTGCCGGCTTACTCCTCGGAGTCCACTGAGAAGATGCTCATCATCCCCAGCCCCTGTAAGCTGGGACCCACCTCTCAGCAGCCCCCACTTTGGAAAACCAGGAAGCAGCACACAGGCACATCTGTACCTTTTGTAGCTAACATGATGTTTACATTTTAAGTGCCACACAGGAAAAACTCCTTGAAGCTTAGCTGGAGAAAGAGCTGAACTCACTTAGCTTTGCTGGCCTCAGAAACCTAACCACTGCCTTCATAAAATGGGTGTTTGGTGCTGGAGAGAGGGCTCAGCGGTTAAGAGCACTCCTTGCTCTTCTCGAGAGGACCTGGGTTTAGTTCTCAGCACCCACTCGGTAGCTCACAATCATGTGTCATTTCAGTTTCAGGGGATCCTATTCCCTCTTTTGAGCCCCTCGGCACCAGGTACTCAGGTGACACACAAACATACACACAGGCAAAAATTCATGTGCATAAAACAAAACCAGATAAATCTTTCTAAAAATGCTACTTCTTCTAGAAGAGAGACCTCCCCCACCTCCATTTACAGAACGGACGACGGCAGGGAATCTTGAATTAACGCTGCAGTCTGCAACTGAAGGTTTATTTCTCTTCATATATTTTGGTCCTAAAAAGAAATTTGTCAAATTTTAGAAAGATAGCCTAACCAAACCACTTCAAGGAGTTTGTTCTCGGAAAAGAGAGACGTTTACCGAGATTTATGTCTAGGGCCTTCAAGATGGTTCGTTTGGTGGAGGCTCTTGCTTATCAAGTCTGAGTTTTATCTCTGGGGCCCATGTGATAGAAGGAGAGAACCAGATCTCTGCAGGTTGTCCTCTGACCTCCACATACATGCCAGGGCAAACACACACGCCCTACAATAAGTAAGGACAAAACATTTATGTGTAAACTATTACATTTCAAAGCTACTTATCATAATGAAGACGATGGTAGTCACATATGAAATGCATCTTCTAAGAACTGCTTTTCTATGGTCCTAGGGATGGAACCCGGATTCTATGTGTGCTAGGTAAGAGTTTTACCACTGAGCGACATGCTAGGCACCTTAGTTTTAAAAATATTTTATGATGTGGAATATATCCATGCTATAATATCAGACAACAACAGTATGAGAAGCCTTGGAAAAGAAAATCAAGAAAACCAAAAAGTCAGCTATTGACGGGTTTTGTTATGACCCAAAATTTACTCCTTAACACGTAAATGGAGGTGCACATCACAGACAGAAAAGTAGCCACAAGCCAGCATGGCGGGGTTTTTAGCTGACTAATTCTCAGCAGCGAGATCTTAAGGTTCTACTTATATTTTCTTCACACTCTTGCATATCTTCCCAAATATTCTTCTAGGGGTGTTTTAATTATCCATTTGTGTGTCTGTTCAACCAACAGGTAGCAAAGCTCCCAAACCTTCTATTTTGTGCTATTGAGAGTCAAACGAACCAGCTAGAACAAAGTACTCTCTATTCTGTCCAGAGTTTATCATCCTTTAAAATAAAAAGGAGCAACTTTTTATCTCATGGTTCATTTGACCCTGTAATTGTGCTTCTGGGAACCTTTTCTAGTTTAGAAAATATAAAGCAAAATTATGGTATGGAAATGTTCATGAGAGCATTAGTATGATGACAAAATACGTAAGATTGCTTACCTCCATGACAGAGGGAAAGGGAAATAACACAGTCAGTACTATGAAGACATTAAGTAGGCCGGGCGGTGGTGGCACACGCCTTTAATCCTAGCACTTGGGAGGCAGAGGCAGGCGAATCTCTGTGAGTTAGAGACCAGCCTGGTCTATAAGAACTAGTTCCAGGACAGGCTCCAAAGCCACAGAGAAACCCTGTCTCTAAAAAAAAAAGACATTAAGTATATTTCTGAAGATAATATATTTTTATTGTTTGACAGCTTCATGCATTTATAAAGTGAATTTTAGTCATGTTTACCCACATCATCCTCTCTCATCTCCCTTCCTCTCCTAGGAACCTTCTTCTCAGTTCTGCGTCTACTCTGTCTTCTTTTTGTATGTGACCTACTGAGTTTAATTAGAATCTCCTGCCAGGAGAGGATAAGTTGTTAGTTTCCCATCACTATCAATGGGAAACGTGGCTACAGAAACGCAGAATGTGGCCTCCATGAACATGACCTCCATGAATGCGGCCTCCATGAACATGGCCTCCACGAACGTGGCCTCCATGAACGCGGCCTCCATGAACGTGGCCTCCGTGCGGTAGTTAATGCTCATAAACTAGAGTTTCAAATGTTAACAGGTGGTCTTTGGGATGGTGAGGTAAAAGTTTGAATTTTTTTTCTGTTTATGCTCTTTCTATTTTCAAAACCTTCTGCAATAAATAAGGTTTAATTTTATGGTCAGAAAAAAAACATGCTGTCATTTTCAAAGATTTGGTTCAGAGGTTGTCTGTTAATAATTCAAAGGACACTAAAATATTTAGCATCTTTTGTAAGCATTTCTCATAACTGCATATCCATGTTGGTGGGAGGAGTGAGCACTCCCTCAGAGACAGCTCACTACCCCTTTCTTTCCACAGTGTTTTGGGGAGAGAATGAACCGGCATGCATGCAAAAGACGCCTTCTTCAGCGGCTTGAGGGAATGAACTCCCAGAATGCTGCTGAAGCTGAGCATGGACAGGAATGTGTCCTTGGGGGACACGAGTGGGCCACGAACCTGGGCCCTAACTCTCATTTGAAGTCTAACCTGGAGCATGTACCTGTTAGCACACCTGAGCCACATCTGCACAGAGTGCACACCTGGCCTTTCTTGTGCTCTGGCGTCTGAGATCCTCTGAGGCACTGGGCAGGTGTCCCACTGTGCTAAGGTCCTGGCATGATTTGTAAAGACAGACACCAGTGGGCCTGGAACCCAGCTCCCCGCAACAATCCATTGTGAAGACCCTAACTCTAAGTCCCTGCTTTAATCTCCTAAATCCCCTAGAAAAGGCAGGTTGTGGAACGCATTCCTGTGCAGATCAGAGGGAGAGCCCAGCTGCCAAGCACTTGGGCTCACACCAACTGGCAGGTGTCCCTGAAGCTCAGGCAAGTCCCCATTGCAGTGAAAACACACACACACACACACACACACACACACACACACACACACACATCAACTCAGTTCTAATTCACAGAATGCTGAGAGATCATGCGTGTATGGACTAGGAATGCCGTGTTTCACTGTACTAATATATCTAGCTACACACCATGCTGGGGCTTATTTTTCAGTTTAAGGAAGCTCCTATGAGTTAAATGATATGCCAGCACAGAAATGTGTACAGGCACACCTCACTCCAGCAGAATCAGTATCTGAAAGCTGGCACCCACCGTCCAAAGGACACGCTTGTAAAATAGTTCCTTTCGCTAGCCCTTTGAACAATTAATTTACATCCCACATTTAAAACACACACCGACTCACACAACATGTTTTCTCTAGGACACACCATGACGAGTCCTAAACACCAACTGGGCGCCATTGCCAAGACGAGAGCGACGAGTTTCTTGGTTTCTGAAAGTATTCACTCGCCACAGACAGCAAACTACAAATCACGCACGCGTGGTCTTCGTATGAAAGAGGGCTGTAATTTGGGATGTTCTTCCTTAATGTTTTTAATCTACTACTTTCCTCGGGTGTCTCACATTCATTTATCTCAGCAGTAATGGCAAAACAATCCACCTTCAGGTCCCTGTGGCAATTGTTAAACACACTTTTACATCTCAGGAAACGCGGGGTAGCCTTCTTCATATAAACCATGCATGAAAGACCTGGGACCCCCAGGGAAAAGTCAATACCAATACATCTGTGCTGTGGTCACCAATTTTCCCTCATGACACCTGGTGAGCCATTCATTCCAGAGAGCCAGCCTCTGTGTGTTTGTGAGAGCCCAACCTCTGCAATTTCAACAGGCTTCTGAAACCTTAATCTGAGGGTTGGAGGAGACTAATTTTCTATTATTTCTAACAAGTACATTTTTCTGTGAATGCACAGGCTAAAAAACATTGACCTTTCACAGAAAAAGAAATTGAGAATCCCCCCTGGGCAAGCTTGGATCCCTGCCTGGGGAAGCCCTGGAAAGGAACGTGCTTCTCCATCCTGAGTAGGAGGCTCCTAGCAGCACCAGGAGGCTAAATAAGAACCTGAAGGGTTTCAAGATTGTGGTCAAATGGTTTTCACTCTCATTTAACACTGGAGAGTCGAAGTGGGAATGGAAAGTTCCCGAATTTTCAGGAAAAGGTGAGAAAAAAAAGCGAGGAGTTTGCTGAGATATACTTAAAATACAAAGCCACAATAGGGTGTAACACAGAGTGACGGATCCAGAGGAGTTCAGGGAGCCCTGGGCAGGGCCTAGGTCTCTGGCCAAACCCTTGATATCCCATGCGCAGGCACTAAAGTAAAAGGAGAGAGGAGAGGCAGAATGTATGGGAAAGAGTAAGACAGGAGTTACAGAGACTGGGGTGGTGGGGGGGTGCAGAAAGGGATGCTAAGTAAAGGAAATGAAATTATTGAATTGGAAGGAAGAGAGGCTAGAGAGGAGTGGGAGAAAAGGGTGAGAAAGAAAGATGGGCTCCTAAGATCAGAGGGACCTAGCAGGCAGGCAGAGCCCCGGGGCATGGATGCACAGTCTGGCTCTCAGGCCACAGGTCTTCCAGTACCAGACCTCCTTAGCCGAGTCGCAGTACTCTGGAGCTTTCTCAGTATCACAGACTCACCTGTCGAAGGCCACAGCAGTCATGGAGTAGATGCTGGCGAAGACCGCAGCGATGGGAAAGAAGTTGTGGAACTTGCAGTAGAAGAGACCGTAGTACCACTCATTGTGGACCGCGTAGGTGAAGTTCACCACTGTGTTGAAAGCAGCCATGGACGCCTCGGCAAAGGCCAGGTTCACCAGGAAATAATTGGTCACTGTCCTCATTCTCTTGTGAGCCAAGATGATCCACATCACCACCACGTTGCCCACCACGGAGGTCACCACGATGACCGTGTAGGCAACTGCCCAAAGGACAATTTGCCAGGCAGGCTGCACGAACTGGTTGGACTCAGAAGTGTTGGTGGAGATGTTGGGGAAGAGGTCTGAGTCCACAGAAAGGACGTTATCCATTTTGGGGCAAAGCAACAAAGTCCTGGCTTCTTTGCAGGCACACACACACACACACACACACACACACACACACACACACACACCTCTTTGCTGCAGAATCTTATTGCGGACTCCTGAGGCTTCAGATCCTGCCACACAGAAGGTGGGAAGTTTCCTGGGCAGAACTCAGTCCTTCGTTAGCTGGAGGCTTGCTCACAGGAGCAACATTTCTCCTATGTATGATCTTTGCGTGGTTCTGGTTCTCTCCGAATTCCTCCACTTTCACTCTAGGCTCTTGTTTGCGGTACAGCGCTTGTATTCCTCACAGTTCTAGACCGCAGGACAACCCCGCCTTTGTGCACCTGCTGCTGCTAGCAACTCCCACTAACATGTGCGCGGCGGGAAAGGCAAAGCTGGGTGCTGCGTGAGGGCTTGAGGGGGGAGGAGGGCCGCTCTCAGCTCTGCTCACAAAAGTTCTGATCCTCTGGCCGGATTCTGGAGTCAGCATCCAGCTGGTGAGATCCCCTTTGCTTTGCTTCCCTGAAGCCTTCTCCTCTGCTGCCACCCGCAGCTTTTCGGTCTTGGCGCGGGTCCTTCTGAGCTCAGGAGTTAGCAGAACCTTGGCAGGCTGCGCACTAGGCTTTTATAACCCGCTGCAGAGACGTCACTGGGAAGGGGTTGTACCTGAGCTGCGTACTCCCTGGTCCCGGAGCGCAGCGCAGCAGCTGCGCCAGCTGTTGGCAGCTGTGTCACTCCACCACCGCAACCACCACGCCTTCTGCTGCTCGTGACCTGCCGTGGGCGTTCTGCAGGCGAGACGAACTCCGCGAGGGGGCGATAAGGTGGCCTGGGAGAAGACCCAGATAGGGTCCTCGGCTGGAATCACGGTTGTACCAGGGATGCTAGCTGAAAAGGAAGGTTTTTGGAAACAGCTGAAGTGGAGGACAGCTAACTCTGTCTCCGGTGCCCCAAAGTTAACAGCCCTGGTGCCCCGCAACAACCTCTACAAAGACGCTAGACTGTCTCGGTGGGAGTCGGGCGAATGTGGGGTTGGAGAGTCGTCCTGCTGCGCCCTAGGTGCTACCACGGAGTGACAGGTGACCACACCCTGCTTCAGAAGTCCGGAAGATAACTTTCCTTATGTTAAGGAAACCACCAGATACCTTGCTCTGTTCCCTAGTGGACTAATTTCTTTTCCCGCTCCCCAGTCCCGGAAGCAGTGTTTGGGCTCTAAGCATTTGGGATATTTTCCCCAGTCACTTTTGGTGACTTGGTCCTTCCCTAGGAGCAGCTAGTCTGTGCTTTCCAACGGAGCCCTGCGACTATCCTTTCAGCTGCAGACACTGGGGACTATGCGCAGCTCTCTGTGAAGCTCGGTGAGTGTAAGAGCCAGGCAGAAGCCCAGTGGCCAGTCGCCCGGACTGACAATTCTGGGCTCTTGGCCAGCACCCTTTGCGGAATAGCACGACCTCGCCAACCTCGCAGCCTCTTTCTCTGCGTCTGTCCGGCTTCTGAGGCTAGGTAGAACCGGATAGGCATGAGAAGGGTCTTCATCAGGTCCCCCTTCCCAGTTTTGCACCCGGCCTGAACTGCAAGTTTCTACCTGCCTTTTCTCCTCATTCTGCCTGGCATCCAAGGTGGTTTCAACGGGCCAAGCTGGTGGCTGGACAGGGAGCAGATGGGGAAGCATCCAGGGCAACATCAGCCCTTTTGAAGAAGCCTAAATGGGTCGAGCTCAGGAGTGTGTTTCTGGCAGCTCGTCCTTGGCAAGGCTCCAGGGGAACCTAGCTTTCCCCCAGCGGGTCCCCTCCAGCACTGCGGTTCTAGGATCTGCGAGATGCCTGCGGGGGTGGGGCGCACCGGTCGGTTGCTATGGGTGGCGTCCCTCCTGGCACCAGGAGAGACGCCTTTACGCACTAGTCTAGCAAACCCGCGCACTGTGTCGCACACGAGGTGCTTTGAAGCTAAGTAATTTATTGCCCTGGCTTCAGCCCGGCTAATATCGCTTCCTCTGGTGCGGGGAGGAAGGGGTCTACTAAACTCTGGTTTTGTTGGAAGATGAGATTTCAGCACTTACGGGAATGGAGCTTCCGGTTCGCAGGTGCCTCCCAGGCATCCCTAAAATCCCAAAGCCCCACTGAGCAAACTCTTGGGATACCTTTCAGAGAACAGCTCTGCACTGCTCCCGGATTGAGAGGAGTGGAAGGAGAGGGGCTTGTCTTCTGCACCTCAGATCTCTCACTGCTGAGAGGGAGTGGGGGTTGGGGGGGGATACAGGAGAAGGATGAGGGGAGAGGAGCAATGACGGGTGAAGAAAGCAAGCACTTACAGTCCAGTAAAGAAAAGAGGCAATGGTTATGCAAAATAGGCATTGTTTCAGGCCCCAGGGATGAAGCCTGGGGATGAACTAGGACTAGTAGAGGCTGGGATGCGACAGAGAAGACGGTCCAGAGGCTTTGCAAAATGATCCATGACACTTCGATTAAAGTCCACCGAGAACACTTTTTTTTTTTTTTTTTTTTAAATCTAAAATCACACCTACAGTCGTTCCCCGAGCTTCAAGGCTTGCTTTCATGAGGCTGGCTTGTGTGGTACTGACCATTTAAACCAGAGGTACTTACCACGTGCTGAAGTCAACATCTTTCCCGGGAAAATCCAAGCATACTCACGTTTGGTCACAATTAGCGAATAACAACGCCAAAAAAAGCCTCATCCCCAAATGGCAGGTGTCACTCACACTGTGAACACGGAGGGATGTTCTCTGGGGTTTCCTTCTGAGTAACACATTTTCCACCCAGGGATGACTACACACCCTAACTGCACACCTTGACTGACTGCACACCCTGAGAATGCAATTTTCCTCTGAGAGCTGATTTTTTTCCCACTTTACTTTCTTATTCCTCATGTTCCCATTGCACTGTTCTTCCTTGACACACAAGACAGTCATCCATCCCAAGGTAAATCCCGTTGACACAGTAGTCTAAATCCTTGCTTATTTGCGCAGGCTTTCTGTAGACAGCCAGAAACACAAACACATAATACCCTTGCTGGTGAATGCAAACAGGGGATTTCCATTGTGTTCCACATTCTAGTTTCCTCGTCTGAAACCTTGTCCAAACACCCCATGCCAGCAGGTATGGATTAACCCATTCTTTCCCATGGCTGAGTATTATTTTTGTGCTATAGGTGCAGTCTAGCTTACACGCTCATTTTTCTATTCATGAAAATTCCCTCTGAGTTTCTGCCACTGAGGACTATGCTACAGGACTGGAGGGTAACTCAGTGGTTCAGAGTATTCCGTGCCCTTGCTGAGTTCAGATCATAGCATGCACCCCAGGGGGCTCACAGCAGCCTGCAATTCCAGCTCCAGGGATCCAGCCCTGTTTTCTGGCCTCTGTCAGCATAGTCATGCACGTGCACACACAAAGACACATAATGAGAAATAAGCCTTACAAAAGACAAGGTTACAATAGATGTTCTTCACTTATGTTTCCAAAGCCACACACTGATGGTTTCCTTCACTCTTCTTTCCTCTTTTCCTGTCCTTCTTGCTTAAATGCAGATCAAGAGATTGAACCCAGGGCCTTGCACAGGTTAGGCAAGCACTCCAGCATTGAACTATATTCTTAGGTAGTGTTGATTCTTCTTATGTGATCAATTTTGAATGGAACTGCTGGGCCATGTGTAGCACTGGTGATATTCACACAATGAACACAAAATATTCATATTCATATTTATATAATATGATGTTTATGCACATATGTAGAACTGATGTACAACTCTCTATATATTTATGTTTTTGGTTTTTTATTAATTTTTTTACATGTGACCCAAAGTTTCTCTGTTTAGATCCATACCCCATTTTAAAATTAGTTTATTTGGTCTTTTTGATAGCTAGTTTCTTGAGTTCTTTATATATTTTGGATATTAGCCCTCTGTCAGTTGTGGGGTTGGTGAAGATCTTTTCACATTCTCTAGGCTGCCATTTTGTCCTTTTGATAATGTCCTTTGCCTTACAGAGGCTTTTCAGTTTCATGAGGTCCCATTTATTAATTGTTGATCTTAGTGTCTGCACTGTTGGTGTTCTATTCAGAAAGTTGTCTTCTGTGACAATGTGTTCAAGGCTATTCCCCATTTTCTATTCTATCATGTTCAGTGTACTTGGATTTCTGCTGAGGTCTTGAGTTTTGGACTTGAGTTTTGTGCAGGGTGATAGATATGGATTTACTGACATTCTTCTGTATGCTGACATGTAGCAGACTGGTAGACCAGTACCATTTGTTGGAGGTATTTTCTTTTTTCCATTGTATAATTTTGGCTTTTTTTATCTTTTGCCAAAAATCAGGTGTCCATGGGTGTGAGGATTTATTTCTGGGTCTTTGATTTGGTTCCATTGATCAACCTGTCTGTTTTTATGTGTGTTTTATGTTTTACTACTATAGTTCTATAGTGGAGCTTTAAGTTAGGGAAGGGATGGTGATACCTCCAGTTCTTTTATTGTACAGGATTGTTTTAGCTATCCTGTGTTTTTTTGTTTTTCTATATGAAGTTGGGTATTGTTCTTTCAAGGTCTGTGAAGAATTATGATGGAAATTTGGTGGGGATTGCACTGAATCTGTAGATTGCTTTGGTAGGATGGCCTTTTTACTCTATTAGTCCTGCAGATCCATGAGCATGGGAGATCTTACAACTCCATGCGTTCAAGCTGCCAGATTGTCTTCCCCAAAGGCCACAGCACTATTACCTTGCCTCTTAGCTTGTCCACCCACCCACATCTACTCCAGTATTTGTTTCTTCAAGTCAAAATAGAAGAATTAATTTATTTTTAATCATATTTATGTGTCTATAGGTATGTGCACAGGAGAGCAATGCCTATAGAGGCCAGAAGAGGGCTCAGATCCTCCAGAGGAGGAGTCACAGCTGTTTGTGAGCCCCCTGTGGTGATCTGCTGGGGACAGAACTCAGATCTTCTTCAAGTACAGTCTGTGCTCTTAACCACAGAGCCACCTCTGCAGGCCCAGTATTAGGTTTGAAAGGCTGTTTTAGTTTTTTTAAAAGTCTTTTTTAGTGGTCACAGCACTACTATGAAAACATTTTCCCAATTACTAGAGCTTTTAGCTATTTGGATGTTCCCTTCTATACGTGTCTGCTCCTGTCCCCCATCTCTGTCTCATTGGTTTGCTTCCTACCCATTTCTTTAGTTCACCATTCTTGTGTTTATGTATGGATTTAAGCCTGGTGCCCAGAAGAGGGAGTTGTATTCCATGGAATTAGAGTTACAGATGATTGTAACTGGGAGCTGCCAAGTGGGTGCTGGAAATTGAACCTGGGTCCTCTGGAAGAGCAGCCAGTGCTCCTTAGTGTCTAGCCAACTCTCTAGTCCCTTGGCCACTTTTTCCTTAAATATTCTTTGTGTTTTAGATACAAATACTTTACATATCAGTAATATTTGAAACATTTGGAATAATATTTTTTCTCCTAAATTTATATGTGCCACAAAACCTCAATGATTTTATGTGGTCATATTTGCTTTAACAATGTATGGTCTTTCCAGTTCTTTTTTGAAAAAGTCCCCCAAATGTTAGCTATTTCCGTAGTTTCCTGGGTTGTCATGCTGGTTTTTAGTTTTGTTTTTACCTTAAGGTTATAGTTCACCTTGGATTTTATTTCGTATTATTAAAAGTGAATGAGAT